CAAAGAGAAAAGGTAAGTCAACACCGAACTGACCTAACTTCTAGGCTTGAAGAAGCTTATGAGATAGGCCAGCCTGAAATCTTTCCAGGATTTCAGGAAAGGCTAGAAGAGCAAATATCTTTAGCTGACGGTTGCTCCAACGATGCTGAGCGGCAACAGCTAAAGGAAATCCTAATGGAATTCCAAGATATTTTTGCCAAAGATTCCTACGACTGTGGGTTAACTAACCTCCACGTAGCCAGAATACAAACTGATCCAAATTTACCACCTGTATTTATCAAACAATATAGACTCCCATTAGCGTCATATGATGGTCTACAAGACATCATTCAAAATTTAAAGGAAAGGGGCATTATACGTCCGGTGCACAGTTCGTATAATAATCCGATCTTGGGGATTCTGAAACCTAATGGACAATGGCGTTTATGCGCTGACTTACAACAGCTAAATAAACGCGTCTATATGTCTGGTTGGCCAACGCCATACATAGACCAATGTTTGGTACAAATGCAGGGATCCAAAATATTCACTGCCATTGACTGTGCGCAGGGATATTGGACTGTACCAGTCCATAATGAAGACCAATACAAATTGGCCTTCACATTTGGAAAGCAGCAGTATACCTGGACCCGTATGCCTTTCGGTTATATAAACTCTGGTCATGAATTCGCTGTGTTCATGCATAAAGCTATGCCTGACGCACTCGAGAGAGGAACGTTATCATATGTCGACGATGTCTTGCTGAAAAGCACTTCCTTTGATAAGCATATCTTAGAGATTAGACATGTTCTCACTCAGTTAAGAGAGGCAGGGATTAAACTGTCTTTACAAAAGGCGCAATGGTGTCGCACCCATGTCAATTTCCTCGGACATGAGGTAACTTCTGAAGGATTAAATCCCCAGAGGAAGAAGGTTGAAGCCGTACTAAAGGCTAAAACACCTTCAAACATCAGGGAATTAAGATCGTTCCTTGGTATGACTAATTACTCCCGTAAGTTTATAGATAACTATGCAGAAATAACTAAACCACTCTTACACCTGCTTAAAAAGGAAACTACCTGGAACTGGGGGGAGCCTCAGGACCAAGCGGTAAGTGAACTGAGGAGGAAGCTCACTCAGGCACCCTGTTTAGCATACCCAGAGGGGGGTAAACCCTTCTATCTGGAGACAGGATATACCGATTTAAGCATAAGTGCTGTTCTGTATCAGAAGCAGGACAGTTTAAACAAAGTTATTGCATATGCTAGCAAGACTTTGTCACCTGTTGAAGTTAAATTCAACACGTGTGAGAAGGCGTTATTGTCGACTGTATGGGCACTACAAAATTTTCGTAGCTATATCCAAGGTGAGAAAATAATTGTAGAAACAGCTCACCAACCTCTACAGTATCTGCAGAGTGAAAGAATTAGAGACGGTAATCTCTCTAACAGTCGGATTACTGCATGGACTCTATCCTTACAGGGATGGCCGCTAGAAGTCCGTTATAAACATAATAAGAGAAGCCCAGTTGCCCAAGGTTTAGCAGAATTACATGACTGTACTGCTCCATCTCTGGATTATAATGACACCGGAGATGACTTTCTAGAAGAGCAATTGCTATCCCCTTATAAAGTTTATGACGAGGAATACTGTCGACCACTACCGTGGGTATACATTGATGGTTGTTCATATCACCACGTCGTTTGTGCTGAACGGAAGTTAGTTGCAGGTATCGGCATCGCCTGGACAGGTGATTATCCTAATGTATCTATGGGATACAATATTGGTCCCAAAAGCAGTCAGATAGCCGAACTCTATGCAGTATATAAGACCATTCAAATGGCAATAGAATATGGTATCAAAGAATTTGTTATTATAACTGATTCCAACTATGTTCGCAACAGTTTCGTCGAATATCTGCCTAGCTGGAAACGTAACCAAATGCTGAAAAGCAATAACAAACCTGTTAAACATGGGAAATTGTTTTGTAAAATCGATGAGTTGGTTAAGGAAAATGGTTTAACCATATGTTGGAAGAAAGCCAAAGGCCATTCTAAAATAGAAGGTATTGACAAGAATGGTAATGACTTAGCCGATTCACTGGCAAAACAAGCTGCCATCAATGGTGAAACCCTAAACATTGATGATCTTATGGGTTCAATTCATGTTGAAACCATAACTAGACGACAGGCTAGAGATAATGCCGACTTAAACGTCGTGCAATGGAGTCAAGAAGCTCCTAGTGAGGACCTGATTACTAGTCAAAAGAATGATCCCGTCATAGGTATATTCTATAAACATATAGAAGACCCTACTGCCAATCCCATCACAGATGAGGATTGCAAAGATAATGAAGATTTACGAATCTTGATGAGATATAAAGTCCAATTTAGTATCATGGATGGGTTACTGGTCAGAACTTCTAAACATGGTATACAACAATGGGTAGTCCCAACTGTATACAGAGGGTTAATGCTCCAACACGCACATGATGCACCTACATCTGGGCATCGTGGTGATAAGATCACATATGAGATATTGTGTGATTATGCATATTGGCCACACATGTTAAGGGATGTTAAGACATACTGTCAGGGATGCTTGATTTGTCCGCAATATCAACCCCATGGTCCAACCCATCGTGCACCACTTCAGAAGAGGGGGGTGTCATTACCCTGGTCTGATATTCAAATTGACTTTATAGGTCCTGTAACAAGATCTTCAAGAGGTAACAAATACATGTTAACCGTTACATGTATGTACACAAAGTGGATAGAATGTTTGCCTTGTAAAGAGAACACGAGTACCGTGTGCGCCACTTTGTTGATTAACCATGTCTTTTCCAGGTTCGGTCTGCCTCAAAGAATTGAGTCAGACAGAGGTAGTCATTTTACCAGCGAAGTAATGGCTAAGATGTGGAACATTCTAGGTGTTAAACGAAAGCTACATATTGCATACCGCGCTGCGTCTAGCGGGGGGGTAGAGCGATATAACCAGTCTATCGTTAATATTCTGAAGAAATATGTTAAGGAGTCTGGTAAAGACTGGGACATTAAATTGCCCCTAGTTTTAATGGCGATTAGAGCTACACCTAGCACTGCTACCAAATTGTCACCTTTTGAATTGATGACAGGAAGAAAGATGGTTTTACCACAGCATTTACTATATCGTACTTCGGATCATAACTTGATCAATGCTGCCACTACGCATCAGTATATCGAAGATTTGCGCAAGCATTTACAGCATGCGTTTGCTTTTGCCCAAAAGAATCTAGAAAAAGCAGCGACAGGGGTTAAGACCTATTACGATTTAAAAACCACGAAAAAGGAATATGAGATAACAGATCAAGTCTATCTGTATAACTTTGCGCGAAATCAAGTCAAGGAAAAGAAATTTTTACCTTCTTGGAAAGGGCCATATGTCATTATTGACAAAATTTCCCCAGTAGCGTACAAGATAAAAATTCCTAAGGATGGTGATTTTATTGAAAAGTGGGTTCACATTAACCAGTTGCGTGCTTGTCATCCTAAATCTCAATTAAGGATTATAGGTGTGGATTCGGATGCAGAAGGGTGAACGACTAACCTGGATGAATGCTTGATTCACGTGGTATAGTATGATGTGAAATGTTGTGATGTGCCATGATCTCATGTACGTTCATGTCATTAACCATTTCCTTGCCATCCAATAAATAAATTTTCTAAGCAGGTTACTAGCTTGTTTAACTGCTATAGGCATATTGCTGAGGAGTCAGTAATAAATGTAGTGAGAGATGAAGTTATAAAAATAGAATTAGAGAGAATACATATGTTGATGAATCGTAAAAATGTGTTGTCCTAGGCCAAGTGGTGTCACACTGTTATAAGTTTGTATGCTTAACAAACCTTGAATCATTAGTAGATAAGTCTGAACGAGTTCCTGATCCGTGACTGTCGAAGGATGTCCAAGAAGGATGTGGCGTGTTTCTGGATCTTACTGCTCCTGTGCCAAGAGCTACGGACCGACCCGATTGCAGAGATGGGACCATCCTCCGGCATCCTGATTCAAGAAACACCAGGGTTCATCTTGACAGAGAAGAGGATCCTGACCCGACGTGTGTTCGTCAGCTTGGACCCCAAGATTTCCATCGAGAAGGCATACAACATTTCATCGATGCAGCTTCCTGAGTTACAGACTTGGTACCAGATGCACCTCCAAAGAGCACAGGACCGTGTGCAAAACATCTTGGAGCAAGCCCGGAAACCATTTGTATCCAGTTCTATTCCGATGAGCAACCGACCCAAAAGGTTCCTCACCGCTATAATTGTTGCATTAGTTTGTGCCACTGTCGGTGCAGTTGTCGCAACTGGAATGTCTGCAGCCAACTCTATTACTGTCCAAAAGCTGGATATGGAAATCTATGCGCTAAAGCAACACATTAACGATATTCATCAGGTGTTACAACAGCAAAGAACACTTCTCCAAGACGTGTTAACTATTGTGGAAGACACAGTTGTTACAACAAATTTGCATTCAGAGTTAATTGCCAAATCCACTGAGTTGCACCAAAGTCATGACTTATTTAAGCGTGAACTTCTATTTCTGCATGACCCAATATTGTTCCACACACTTGCTTTTCTCGACAAAGTGCAAACTGGAATGATCAAATTGGCAGGGGGACGCATACCTCTGTACTTTGTATCCAAGGATATTGTTCATGCGATGCTTGCCAATGTGGATGGAGAAACAATTGAGCCTATGCAATTAAATCTGGCCTTTGAGATGGGGAGCGCTATACCTCTCTTAATTGATCTGGAACGTATGGAGATTTGCTTTTTATTGGCCATACCATATGTAACTCTCAAAGACATTTTTCAAATGAAAACAATGTACTATGTTAATAATGATATTATGGGTGATTGTACTAAGTGTAAAGTTCAAAACTCTTACAGGTACAAATATATACAAAAATGTTCATTCCACGCACGGGCCTATGTTAGAAATGATGTGATTGCACAATATGTCTGATAACTTCTATAGTGCTTATTCATAAGCTAAATAAATTTTGGCTATGAAATGCACTAAAGGGGGGTTATGTCAGGGTATTTATATCGGCAGACATTTTGTGCTATGATAGAAACTAAAAGTGTATATTCTGAGTCACTCTGAACAGACCAGACTCCATTTTGTTATTTTCAAGTTAACAAAAAGACACAAGATTTCTTTCTGTAAGACTAGCCACTTTGCCAGAGCTAAGGAATGCATAGCATAGTATAAACAAGTGATAAGAAGAATATAATCAAATCTAAACCCAGACAATTGTGACAGAGAAGATTAAATAATAAAATTTAACTGTCTATATCTATAGGGTCCCATTGTAAGTTACGGGTCAAAACTCAGATTGCCAGACACATAGTCTGGACAAAACTTAAATAAACCCTTTGATCTGTGAAGGATACGTAAGTTATGGCCACTATCTAGATAGGCCAAAATGACATCAAAATAGCCACCAGGAAAAGTTAACTCTTTCCTGGATAGGTATGTTTAGTGGGACAAGACTGCCCTCTATAGACCAAATACCTAAATTGCGATCTGGAAGATAACCACACCTCTAGTACTTCTATTGAGTTATCAACTGATGACGTACAGAGAGTCTGGCCCTTTAAAAGTTAGGACAAAGGGAAGATAGAGAATAAGTTGTAAAACAGATCAAGGGATGCAGAAAATGCAAAGGAGAAAGAAAAAGAGGAGAGAGGAATTGGAAGTTTGGGGACTCCAACCTCCATGCAGAGAGACATCCAAATAAGTTCCTGAGACTACCAATCGGATGAAATATCTACTCAACTGGTAATTATACTGGTTTCATTTAATTAATTAAATTAATTAAAATGTATTAATAGCATTATATATGACTGGATAAAGCACGGTCAGATTTCCATATTAAGAAATCTTAGTTAACTAAAGAATATATAGTTATAAACATTCCATTCTGCAGGTGGAATTAAGAATAATTATATATTAATGTGATATTATCACGTGTTAGCATACCGTTGTTTTTATCCAGGTGTATTGATTTGCTCTAAATTAAGATAAGATATCTTTTAGACAAATTAAAATCTGCTTATATATATGGTAGATTCTCTTATTGGATGGTTCCAGGAAATGACTAATGAACTGGTTTAAATGTATTTTATTTAAAAATTGCATAAGAATAGATCCTAATTACCTAGGAGATCTAGCCAGCATTGAAAGGGTTATTCTGTCAGCTAAACTTTACGACCTTACGCTGCACTCTGAGGAATTCTGTTCTTCGCTGTGAAAAGTTTCACTTTCAGTCTGTGTTAAAGATAGTCATAAATAAAGTCTTGACAGGAAATGCTATTTAGCCATTGAAACGTAATACCCATTCCTTTGTATTGCATACCATTTTATACTGGATATTCATTGATTATTGTCATGCATGTTACATGTTATTATTAATTAATTTGTTATATAAAAAAAAATCTATTTTTATTATAAAACTGTGAATATTATTTATATGGTATACATTTCACTTAACACGATAACGATATTTGGGATCTGAGAATTGAATTAGTGGGCAATTCTCAACTGTTTACTATTATTATCCGATAAATATCCCCACATATTGGAGGCACGCTGCTGAGATCGTTTAAGTTGAAATTATATTTCATATATAATAATATTGGTGTAATTCATGCAATTTAATCTTGATATAGAAAAGAGTTTTGTATTGAGATTAAATCACTGTATAGAAATATGGCTGAATCCAGTAATACATCTGTAACAGATAATACTGAAATAATTGAAGACCTAAGAAAACATGCTCTAGTTCATATTCATAAACATATGAAAAATGTTACATGTTATTATTAATTAATTTGATATATAAAAAAAAATCTATTTTTATTATAAAACTGTGAATATTATTTATATGGTATACATTTCACTTAACACGATAACGATATTTGGGATCTGAGAATTGAATTAGTGGGCAATTCTCAACTGTTTACTATTATTATCCCATAAATATCCCCACAATATAGGAGTCTATAGGGGGTAAGTGGTCCAGCTTGGAACTTAAGTACTATACAATCAAATATCAAGATAATAGTACATAATAGGGTGAAAGAGATGTCCATCAACCGCTGATTACAGGTAATAGGTGGATGGGGTATAGTGGAACAATAGTTAAGAATAATGCCATCTATCACGTATAGCTTCAGCCCATTTCATTATTTTGGTCTGGAACTAAAGAAGGTGCAATACTTCTTATATATAATATGTCCACATCTCACAATCCACCCAAAACAGCCATATGCTGGAGCTCAGCACATCAGGTAGCCTTACACATTGTAAGCTAGTTGAACCTAGAGTCTCTATTTGTGTTGTGCTATGAAAAATAGTGGATCGTTTTTATAGTACTGTCGGACATCGGCTATGGAGGCTAGGAATTCACTCAGACAACTTCATGGATGGCAATTCAACTAAATTTCCCTGTAGCTATAAGTAGCTATGATAATCATATCATGGTACTATTAATCACAGCTCTAATGGCTAGAGATACCCTATGACCCCTTAGCATAGTGTCAAAGAGGCTGGTAATCCCTGTAGCTATAAATGGAGCATACTCCGGTCTTCTGCCGCCGTATACCAAGTCCCCACACCCTCATATAACTCTTCCTCATTATGCACAAAACAAAATCAAAATGAGTAAAAAAAAGTGATCAATCAGTGCATAGTGCTCATAGTAAAGTGATCCTGACGCGCATTTCGGTGCTCTAGTAGCACCTTCGTCGGGGGGGGGGGAATTTGAAATTGGCGGTCTCTGGTTTTTAAAGGGCTTTAGAGTCCGCCTTCATTTCCCTTTTAGCCAGCCATACCTCAGTAAATTCTTTAAGTTCATCTGAGCGGCATCCAGCTATCAGGGTTCCCTGATGACATCATTGTCTGGACATGCCTTTGGAGCACCCCTCTCTTTTAGTTACTTAGTATCCTGGTGGCTAAGAAACACAATTGCACATAGGATGAGAAGATGGGAACATAGTATCTTTATGTTTAGATGTGTATAATCTCTCATTATGCAATTCTCCCATCTCATAATGTTACGTACAATGTAAATTAGATGAAGAGATCTTCTGAGTCATGTCCTGAACTTCACAGAGATGTGTGTAGATATATGATAATGTTATTTATCACCTAATCAGGTAGGCTAAAAACTAGAGGTGTGCATGGGGAAGATTTTCAGTTCGGTTCAGCATTCCGAAATTCGGCACTTCGACACTTTGGCACTTCAGAATTTTGGAACTTTAGCATTTCGGGACTTTGGCACTTCGGGACTTCTCTTGCAGCCGCTTAGTAGGTAACTCCCTAATTTCCATGGTATTAGGGTGTTATCTACCAAAAGGCTGAAAGACCTAAATTGGTCTTTCAGCCAAATTTACTAATACTAAGTAAAAATTACTTAGAATAGTAAATTTTGCCCCTACTCGCTATACCGTGGCATGTCTATTTAACTGTTAAAAAAAAAAAAACTGGGCCCCCTCTCCCGAGCCCCCACCCGTGCCGCACGAGTGGGGGCTTTTAAACTAAAGGGTGAACCTATTGCACCCCTGGCCCTCATCCCTAAATGGTGGGTGGGAGCCCTAAATCAAAAAAATGGGGGGGGGGGACCTATTGTCCTCCCCCCAGCCCCCACCCCTGAGCAGCGGGTGGGGGCCCTATAGTAAAAAAAAGGGGGGGACCTATTGTCCTCCACCCCCAGCCCCCACCCATGAGTGGTGGGTGGGGGCCCTAAATTACTTCAAGGGGGGGACCTATTGTGGTGGGTGGGGGACCTAAATTAGAATAAGGGGGGACCTATTGTCCTTCCCCCGGCCCCCACCTCTGAGCAGTGGGTGGGGGCCCTAAGCTAGAATAAGGGGGGGACCTATTGTCCTCCCCCTGGCCCCACCCATGAGCAGTGGGTGGGGGCCCTAAATACCAATGAGGGGGGGGACCTATTGTCCTCCCCCCTGGCCACCACCCCTGAGCGGTGGGTGGGGGCCTTAAATACCATTAGGGGGACCTATTGTCGTCCTCCCCCCTGGCCCCCACCACTGAGCGGTGGCTGGGGGTCCTAAACACCAATAAGGTGGGGGAAACTATTGTCCTCCCACCTGGCCCCCACCCCTGAGTGGCGGGTGGGGGCCCTAAATAAAAATATAACCCCCCCAGGTGACAAGGGGTCCCCAAACCCCTAGTCACCCCCTCCCAAAAAAATGAATTAACCCCTACCTTCCCCTCTCACCCTAAAAATAATGAGAGGGGACCATTAACTAGGTACCTAAAAAAAAAACAAAAAAAAAACCACAACTTACCATTTGATGTCTTCTTTTTTCTAACATCTTTTTTCAGCCCCAAAGAAGGCCAAATAAAAATCCATAATAACCGTTGCACTTTAAAAAAAACCAAAAAAAACAGAGCACAAAAAAATATATCAATCTTCACGCATGGAGGGCTCCGCGCAGACTGAGCTCTGCAGGGCGGGCAAAGGCTTTGCCCCACCCTGCAATTAGACTCAGAACACTCTGTTTGGATGGTTTAAGCCATCCAATCAGAGTGCTCTGACAGGTAAATGAAGAGACTGACAGGTAAGTCTCTACATTAACCTGTTACAGCACTCTGATTGCTTAGCTTGAAATCCAGCCAATCAGAGTGCTCTGTGTCATTTTACACAGTGTGGGAAAGTTCTTTGGAATTTTCCCACACTGTGTAATTTGACTCATAACTCTGATTGGTTACTTTCAATTAGGGAGTTATCTACCTATTTATTTCTGTCATTCATTGACTGGCTATTAAGTATCTTACATTTTATATGAATGTGTTTTACTTGATTGTTGTAAGTGTTGCAAATGCTTACAGCTGAATCCTGGCTATGTTTATATACTTTTTATTCAAACTTGTATACAGTGTAACATTCTTCTTTCTTCCACTGGGTAGGTATTTTAGCACTTCGGCAATACTGTGCTTCAGCAACTACGGAACTTCGACACTTCGGAAATTAGGCAATTTTGGAACTTCGGGACTTCGGCAATTCGGCACTTCAGCAATTCGGACATTGACATTTGTAACAAAACAAATTGCACATGTCTACTAAAAACAATATTCTGACAATATCAATTCTCTGTGGGATAAAGTATCTCTACATCATTGGAGTATTATGACTCTTCACATTGGATCATTATTTGATGTAATTTGATTGCAGCCAAAGTTGTGACATTTCGTAGTCACTGGATTTGATTTCCATTTATGTAGATGTTTGAAAAACACT